GGGGGGCTGTGTATAGCGCTCAGTACCTGTGTATAACGGCATGGCGGGGGGGCTGTGTATAGCGTTCAGTACCTGTGTATAGTGGCATGGCAGGGGGGCTGTGTATAGCGCTCAGTACCTGTGTATAGCGGCATGGCAGGGGGCTGTGTATAGCGGCATGGCGGGGGGCTGTGTATAGCGCCATGGCGGGAGTGGGGAGCTGTGTAGCAGCATGGCGGGGTGGGGCTGTGTATAGCGCTCAGTACCTGTGTATAGCAGCATGGCGGGGGGCTGTGTATAGCGCCAGTACCGCCAAAAGGCATGGCGGGGCTGTATAGCGCTCAGTACCTGCTGTATAAAGGCATGGCGGGGTGGGGCTGTGTATAGCGCTCGAGTATGTATAGCGGCATGGCGGGTGGGCTGTATATAGCAGCATAGCGGGGGGGGCTGTGTATAGCGCTCAGTACCCGTGTATAGCGCTCAGTGGCTGTGTATAGCGGCATGGCGGGGGGGGGTGCTGTGTATAGCGCTCAGTACCTGTGTATAGCGGCATGGCGGGCGGTGCTGTGTATAGCGCTGATTGTTCCGGGAGGTGCCGCCTGTCAGGGCCTCGCTCGCTCCCCGTCTCATTCAAACAGGGGCAGGTGACGCTGCGAAATCGCACGCTGCACCGTGAGCCCAGCCAATCACAAGGTAGCGGCAGGGGCATCCGCCAATCAAGAGCCAGACAGGCGGCGCTTCGGCCAATCACAGGGCAGAAGGATCTCAGCTTGTCCAATCACCGCGAGCTTCATGCCCTGCTCTCTACCCGGAAGGAATTTAGTGTCGGCTTCCTGTAAGATCACGTGGGGTTGTTGTAGCGCTGAGAGGTCGCTATGCATCATGGGTTTGGTTTATTAGTGTGGGATAACAGGAAGGACATTACACTAACCTAAAGCAGGGCTGCACAGGCCGGGGAGGCGCATGGGAAGTAGGGCTGCTGTACTTTATTTCCTTTTAACGTCCCACTTCTTTTTTTTTTTTTTTTTATTCGATGTTTGAATTAAGTCTTTTTGGCTAGTACGAGCCAATCAAATTCCTTTTAATTTAGGGCCAAACAAATGTGGGAGTGATAATTCAGTGAATAAGATAATATCAGCACTGCCCCCAGTCCCGATTTCGAGGGTCCAGTCCCGTTGCATTTATCTGGTGTTTTGCATCAGGCGATACCAAAGAACTGCCCCCTGGCCGCACAGCGTGAGTGCGTATTTAGCGTGAACTTTGGTAAATCAGATTAAAGGGTTAGCTATATAAAGCTATATTCCTAACACTATAGAGCCTTCTGGTACCCCCTCCCTCACGGTGCACCCAACCCTACCCCCCGGCATGTAGATGGTAAAAACAACTTTATATAATTACCAGATTTTACTAATTTCATGACGTAAAGTCATGATTTTATAAAGGACACGGAGTATTATGCTATTCGCTTTCTTTTATTCCTCGGCAGCAAAAGAGAGAAATACTGTAAATATTCAACAAAATTTAAATAATAACATAATTTACCCCAAAGGGTTAACCATATATAACACATTAACCAATGAGAGTGTCCCTAGCCTAATAATGTCCCATGTGACCTTGAGCCACTACTCTTTCTTTTGATGTTGTCGATGAACACTTCCTCAAACATAAAAACGATGTAGTCAATAAAGTGCAGAACTGTTATTTCCAGAAACTTATAGCAACGGCTCCAGATGAAACAGACAACCTTCTGTTTGAACTTGTATGGGCAGGCATGGACCAGAATGACAACCCAATTAGGAGGCTGTAAAACAAAGAAATGAAATGGTAAAATATGTTCTTGGATCTTATTTCCATATTATATTACGATCCTATCTACCAAAAAACAATTTTTCACTTCAGTACTAATCATCAGGTGAAAGGACAAATCACATTATTACACCACTCGTGCCCCATTACATGACAGTATAGTCACAGGGAGGGCGTAACTTACCTGGATTGGGTGGGATAATACTCGCCTCCGTGTCCTTTATAAAATCATGACTTTACGTCATGAAATTAGTAAAATCTGGTAATTTTATTAAAGGACACGGAGGCTCCTATTATGCTAGTTCAAAGCTGCGTGATCACTGAAGTTTAAAAATGAGTAATTGGTCGGAAACAAAATTCTCGGAACGTAGAGTCTCTGGACCAATAAGCTACACCGAGGAGGTCTTCTAGCCTACAACCTAGAGAAAAGGCTTTTGATGCCATAGCACCCCTTACTGAATGTGCTCCGTACGTGGGGGTATCAATGTTTGCCGACTCCATGATCCATTTAACCCAGCGAGATATGGTAATAGTAGAAACCGGATGATGAGGTTTTCGGAGTGCCAGAAACAGATCTGGATACCGGGAATCACGAATCGAGACGGTCCATGCCTCATATTCCTCGAGGCAGGCTACTGGACACAATTTAACGTTACGTGGAAAGGCTGGGTAGAAGACTGTTGTAATGGATGTCTTTGTACGTCTCGATATGTTGAAGGAGACTCCTGGTGTAAACGAGTGTGCCGTGAGGTCCAGTGCTCGGACATCTGAGGAGATTAGACACAATAGCGTAACCAACTTAGCAGTGAGCTGCTTGATCGAGAGTTCCTCATTTCTTGGCCAATTTTCGAAAAGTCTGAGAACTAGGCCAACATCCCACAAGGCTGCATATTTAGGTCTTGGTGGGCGTGCAAACTTGATGCCACGTAGAAGTCGACACACCACTGGGTGCCTTCCTGTTTGGAATCCATTCCAGCTTTGATGGCCTGCCGAGATCGCTGATCTATACAAGTTAATTGTACAATATTCCAGACCGTTAAGTGAAGTCAGGAAACTCAGAACCTGAATCACATTTGCAGATATAGGATCCACGTATTGTTCCATGCACCAACCATTCCATGCGTTCCAGGCATGTAGGTACGACTTCCTTGTTCCTGGAGCCCAAGCTCCTGCCAGGAGATCCAGAGTTGCCTGTGGAACATTTGGGATGTAGTAAGGTCCCCTGAGAGGAGCCATGCCAGGAGTTTGAGATGTCCCTGATGAAAAGGGGGTGTGAGTTCCCGTCGGAATCCCGTATGGGGTCGGTTGTCACCAGTAGTAATCGCAGAAGATCTATGGACATTTCCATGAGCGTAGTGAATTAGGGCTGAGACGTCCAAAAGGGGGTTATGCGGATCAAGGAGGTTCGGTGACGTCTGAGATACAGCAGAGTTCGTGCAATGAGGGAGAAAGGAGGGAAGGCGTAGTGGCGGGATTTTGGCCACGGTTGGAGGAAAGCGTCCGTCGCCAGAGCTTCCGGATCCGGCCTCCAGCTGAAGAATTTTGGCAAATGTGTGTTCAAGCGTGATGCGAAGAGATTGATGTCCAGGGGGCCCCAAAGTGATTGTAAGTGGCTGAAGATGACAGGGTTCATCCGCCAGTCGCTGGCATCTCGTAGGTGTCTGGAATTCCAATCCGCCACTACGTTAAACATCCCCGGAATGTACTCTGCTTGTACCGAAATGTTGTGGTCCAGACAGAATTGCCAGAAATCTTTCACCAGTTCTGCTAGTATTGTTGACCTCGTGCCCCCGAGGTTGTTGATATATCTGACCGCTGATATATTGTCCATGCGTAATAGAATGGAGCAGTTGGTCGATATACTTAAAAGACACCGTAGAGCAAACGATCCTGCTAGCAGTTCGAGGCAGTTGTAATGTAGTTTCTGTTCCTCTAGAGACCATTTTACTCCGGTGGAGATAGCTCCACAGCACGCTCCCCAGCCGAGCATGCTTGCATCGGATTCCACTATGATGTCTGGGGTGGTTCCGAAGATCGCTCGGCCATTCCATGCTTCCATGTGTTGTAGCCACCACTTGAGTTCCTCTTTGGCGGTGCAGTCGAGAGGAACAGAGTCTGAGTATGAGTGCCCTGAGCGAAGGTATTTGGCTTTCAGTCGTTGGAGTGCCCTGTAGTGCAGAGGCCCAGGGAATATGGCTTGGATTGACGCTGAGAGGAGGCCGACAATCCTGGCCAGTTGTCTCAAGGTAAGAATGGGACGTGCTAAAGTCTGCCTGATTTCATTTTCGATGGATTTGACTTTGGCTGTTGGGAGTAGGAGTGCTCCGTTCACAGCATCTATAGTGAACCCCCGGAATTCTATTGACTGAGAGGGTTTGGTGACCGACTTCTCCCAGTTGATTAGAAACCCCAGGTTTTCTAGTAGAGTCCTCGTCCAGGAGAAATGTTCGTGGAGCAGATGAGGGTCTTGCGCCATTATGAGGATATTGTCCCGGTATATTATGAGTCGAACTCCTCTGCTGCGTAGGAGGGCGACCATTGGTTTCATGAGCTTCGTGAAGCACCATGGTGCCGACGATAGGCCGAACGGTAGGCATTTGAATCGCCATAAGGTCTCTTCCCATTGGAATTGTAGGAAGTTTTGGCACTCTTCGGCCATCGGAACCATGAGGTACGCATCCTTCAAGTCGAGCTTGACCATCCAGTCCCCTGTAAGCAGGAGATCTCGTAGAGAGTGGATACCTTCCATCTTGAAGTGGTGGTATGTGACAAACATGTTTAGGGGTCGTAGGTTGATGACTGGACGGACGCCTCCACCTTTTTTGGGAACCAGGAAGAGGTTGCTTAAGAAACCTGGTGTGAGAGGGAGGACTTCTGCAATAGCGCCCTTGGAGGCTAAGGCTTGTACTTCTTGAGATATTAGGTATTGGTCATGAGTGGGAAACACCATGCGGTTGGGGGGTTGTATTTGAACAGGGTAGTGTACAAAATCTATAGAGTATCCCTGAACAGTGTGAATGATCCATGCATCTGCAGTGAGCTTGCGCCATGCAGTGACAAAATGACACAGTCTGCCCCCTACCATAGTTAGTGAAGCCAGATGTCGAGGTATAGAACTTACCATAAGGTCGTCGGCCATAGGAAGAACCTCTGGGTCCCCGAGACTGCCATGGTCTGCCCCGGACTGGGAAGAACGGTGTGGTAGTTCTGGGTTTAGGTGTTGTAAACCTGGACTGTATGTGGCCTCGGTAACCCCGGTATGAACCCCGGGGTGCTCGGCCGGGCACACGGCTCCGATATCTGCCAGCCCCACAAAAATGTTTCATGTTGGCCTGAGCTTTATCAAGTGCCGTAAAGGTGCCTACATATGTGCCTAGCTCTTTAACAAAAGTATCTCCAAATAGGAGGGCTTTTGCCTGGGGTCCAGGCTCTGAAATAGCTAGGTTCACTAGCTCAGGTTCTATTTTTATCAAGATTGCCTTGCGCTGTTCTGTGGCTACCACCGTATTGGCGTTGCCCAGCAGGCATACGGCTCGCTGGATCCACCCCCTGAGTGCCTCTAAATCCACCGGGGTACCACCTGTTATTGTGCCTTCGTCCATGTCGAACATTTTTGCAATTGGCCCTAGGATATCCAGGACCTTGTCCTGGCAATTCCGCCGGGCACAATCCAGGCCCTTCTTGGCTTTCCAGCCTGATTTCCCCAAGAATTGGGCAATTTTGGGGTCTACGTCCAGGGTGGCGCATGCCATATCAGGAATAGTGGGGCATGGGCATTCCGCCCGGAGTTTGCTCCATGCCACCTTGTCGAGTGGTTTTCTAATACGAGCAGCGATGTATTTTGCAACGTGCTCTAGAGGGTACCACTCCGAGGATCTCGGGTGTTGTAAGGTGTCGGGGTCAAAAAGTGGTTCGCCTTGCGGATCAACCAGGGCGAAGTCGTCTACTCCATCTTTGGAGTCTGCTCCCGCTCCTGTCATGGAGCTGTGCTCAGGGAGATAAAAGCTGGGGTCATAAGAGTCCTCCTCATTGGACTCGCTCTGTGTCTCCTCTTGCTCCGACTCAGATTCGGAGGATTCAATGAGGGCTCTAGCCCTTTTCCAATTCCTCACCGATTTTGCCCGGTGGGGGGCTCTTTGTTGTGGTTCAACCACATGATCTGTGACAGGACGTACCCTGTCCATCTGTATTGTTTTGGAGGCATTTTCGTCCAGGTCGTGGGACTTTTTGACGGCTTTATGCCCACTAGGGGCTACCGGATTATCCTCTGGGGAGTTAGAAGTGGAGGATTTCAGTGCCTTGGTAATTGACAGTGAGATATTGTCTGACATGGCCCCCATAGCGGTAAATATGGCCTGTGTCACGGACTTCGTCATAGGCGCGTCCAGGAGGGAATGCAACTCTTCAGAGTCCATTTGCTCCTGGGGCCCTTCAATCGTTGCGGGAGGTTTGGATTCCGGAAGGGGTTTAGGGGTCATGGTGACGTTGGTGGCAGAGCCTGAAAGCCTAGCCTCAACTGAAAGTATGGATAAGACAAAGATTACATCATTCCTAAGGATACCAGCAATGGGCAGCTTTGAAAGGCTGAAATAATGACTTAACACTTTAAGTTAATTACTAACACACATTGCTGCTCAGGGTAATAAGGAAACCGGGCAAGGTTAAAGGATCTTAACATGTATAGCTTGGAGGAAAGACGAGACAGGGGGGATATGATAGAAACATTTAAATACATAAAGGGAATCAACACAGTAAAGGAGGAGACTATATTTGGAAGAAGAAAAACTACCACAACAAGAGGACATAGTCTTAAATTAGAGTGGAAAAGGTTTAAAAATATCAGGAAGTATTACTTTACTGAGAGGGTAGTGGATGCATGGAATATCCTTCTAGCTGAAGTGGTAGAGGTTAACAGAGTAAAGGAGTTTAAGCATGCGTGGGATAAGCATAAGGCTATCCTAACTATAAGATAAGGCCAGGGTCTAATGGAAGTAATTAGAAAATTAGGCAGACTAGATGGGCCAAATGATTCTTATCTGCCGCCACATTCTATGTTTCTAGAGGGGGTGGGCTGCTGGGCACTCTTATTTAGTGCTTAACCATTAAAAATACTAAATTAAAGGATTGCACAGGGTCGCGCCGAAACATTGGGGTTGGTTTGGTCTCCAAGCTCTAGGTGAGTATACCTTGTTTATGGTTTTTTGGTAAAAGTATGTTATTTCTTAAGCACTTTATTACCATGCATGCGGTTTTGTACATTTGATGGCATTTCTTTGTACTTCTGTTTTGCACAATTACACCTTCTTATTAAGCATATTTCTAAAGAAATAAAAACTATCTTTTGTACTAAAATAATTGGTGTGCTTGGGAATTATTTGTGTTCTATGGCAGTTCACTGGGGCAGGCTAACACCTAAATCCGGTGTTTCTCTTGTCCGGTAAAATCAAAGTCAAATATAGCAAAAGGGGTTGGTGTGACTCTTTGACATTTCTTCAAATATATATGCAATTAAAGGGACAGGAACTGACTGTGTAGTGTAGTATATGTTAATGCTCTTGGAGAGAGTGAAATGAGACACTTACACTTTTCTGGAACTTCAATTCAGCTCCAACTTTTGCTTTATTGGACTCATAACATCTTTATTTAGAAGAAGCAATTACAGTGTCCTTTAAAGCAATGTTCAAATTTCTGTTGCTAAGTTAAATTACCCACAAGCATCTGTCGAAGCAATTATATAAAAAAAGTAAATAACAGACATGTACAAAGGAGAACAAAAAGGAAGCGCCTGGATGTTGACATTAGACATGAAGAAGACCATACAAATGAGGGTAAGGGGGAAGTATTATCTATATTAAGATACAAGGGACATAAGGAAAAGAAACTTGAAAGAAAAAAAAAGTCACTGACACCTTATTAATACAATTACAAGTTGGGAGCTCAAAGCTGCTTCAATTAAAATGACAGAAAATGAATATGTTCATGCAAGAACAATCCATGAAACAATTCATTTGGGTTTTTCACCAATCAAGTCTTTTGGACAAATGAACTTAAAATTTGTATGCATTTGCCTAGTCTAGAAAGTACCCCCTCTACTAAACCACAGCACCTGCCTCTACTAAAGCCCAGCACCCCTCTCTAGTCAACAAGCAGACTCCACTCACGTTGCGGCTGGTATACCCCAAATGGCGCCATCCGCTCTCTGTGCCAAAGCGGATCCTCCCGCTACTTCTTGAAACCCTGAGAAGATGGAGCACGTCCACTATCCAGCCGTGGCCATCGCAAAACACTGACCAACACACACATATTTACTCACAGACAGATACACTGAAATGGAAAAATCTATCAAAGTATTGATTATTTCTTTGTGTATCTGCCCCTGGCCAAATCAATGAAACAATGCGTGCACGCTCCCTGAAGTAATTCACACCAGACGCAGGTTCCAGGTTGTTGAATAACTTGAGGAAAGTTTATTCAGAGGGGACGGCAGGTCCCTTTTAAAGCAAAATTACATCATAAGCATTGTCAGAGATAACATGGAATAATACATCAATAATTGGTTAGGTGTTAAGTGGGTCGCCTACTGTAGGTGATGTCACCGGGCCATGAGGGTCTCCCACGGTTTTCCGGCGCCATCTTGCTGCACGAGTTAGTTAGTCAATGTTAAGAAGGGAAGGGGGGGGGAGGAGGAGTTAGAAGCTTCTAGCAGCCATTTTGATTAAAACATGTGTGCTTAGCTTTATATGTAATATATCGTGAAATGAGTAAATAGACATTTTCTCTAATTAGGAAATATATGCAGACCTTATTTCCACAACAGTCCCCCCTAAAATGGCTATTTACCATAACAACTGCTACTGTCCCTAATATGTCCCTAGTTGCCTGCAACCTATCTGTCTTAACAAGCATCGAACACTTCACTCCGCGGGTAACCCGCAGTGGCTAGTCCACTACATCTCCACACGTGAGACTCGCCTGTTAAGACAGACGCTTTCCCTACACTGTCCCTACAGGAAAGCAGTTGTCTGTTTGAACTGATGTGATTGAAGGGGTGTATGTGGAGTGTCGTCTTCGAGGTCTGTGATATCTTGATGTAGGAAAGTAGGGGTCACGTCATCTACAGTCTTATCTACCGCTTTCTGCAAGTACTTCTGCATGCAAGGGAGTATGCAACAGGTTAAAAATAAGAAAATGATGATCATTATAAGAACAGCCGTTCCCACCTGGAAGAGGGTCCTTTGCCAACCATTCATCCACCCAAACCATCTGTCCCACGTGTCAGTGACTCCGGAATTCCTCTTTAGCTCGTCTGCAAGACTATCTAGTTTCTCTATGGCCATAGTCACCTTACCATTGGGCCCAGTGTTGTCTGGAATGTATGTGCAACATGTCATGGTCTCGGGGAGGATCTTACATACTCCCCCCTTCTCAGCTAAAATCATATCTAGGGCCATTCTGTTCTGGAATGTCATTTGTGTAGTGGCTTGTAGCTGTTCTGCTAGGCCCTGTAGGGCATCCCTTGTATAATTAACAAAGCGCTGCTGATTATAATAGATGTAGTTGATCCAATTGACATTTTTGTTAGCAGTTATCATGGGGATTAGGGATTCAAATCCTGCAGCCACTTCATCTCTTGCTTTGAATTCGTTAGGCACCCCCCTTGGCACACCTATGGCATCAATATACACATGGGGGTCGAAGCTCCCTCGGATAGGAGCCTCTCGTTTGGTTCTAGAGTGTGTATATGTAAAATTTAACGTGTTATGACTACCATCTGGAATAATGTGGATAGGCATTATGACTTTGGTTAGGGCACACTCCCCCCACCATTGCCCAGTTAATTGGGACCTCAATTGTTTATCACCACATAACCAATAGATATCCCCGATTGTCTTTGTGTGGTTCATTAGCAGTGATGCAGGTGGATTATGGTAAGTTGAGCAGTATCCTGATGGGAATTTGCCCAGATACAACCCAGTGTTCTTAGGTATTGAATAGCATGTGTAATTACCTGGGTAGATGGTGACTCCATCAGGTGGTTTCACATGTCCATGGGTGATTGGGTAAACTTTCTTCCAGGATTCACATGTTGAGGAGTTAGTGGTGGATTGTGCATACAAACTCAGTACACATAATTCTATTTCAGGAGGTAAGCTCAGAGGTACTGTGCCCAGATGGGGTCTGGCTCCTCCACATACATAACAGTTAGTCTTATTATGCGAGTTAGCATTATACCTCATCCACTCTAGCCACAAATTAGTGTCTGAAAACCCAGTTTCTACTGCCATGGTATCCTCAAAGGTGGGGTTAGCTACAGCTACCATGTCATGTAAGGTCTTAATGTGTGGTTTCAATGGGTTAATGACCATATGTGTAGTCCCTACCCAGTCTGAGGAGTTAAGCATATCTTGTAGGTAAAATGTCCCTAATGCATTATGTGAGCCGCCTCCCTTCCAGTACATTCCCATCACATATTCCCCTGCATCCCTTGGACTAGGGTGTTCTATATTCAGGGTAAGTTTAATGGGAGTTGACCCTATGGGTTTACTCAGGGTCATTCTAGAAAGTAAGGGTTTCCCGTCTTTGTCGAGTCTGTCCAGTGCAACTTGAGGTCTGTAGCCCCATGGCCTACCTGTGTTCCACCCGGCAGCGCACCATGAACTACAATGGTGCCCCCAAACTCCTCCAGTCACACAAATGTATGGATCCTTTTTGTTAGGTATGTCCTTGTATATGGCTGCATATTGTGTTTGTGGAAATGTACAAGTAACTATGTCACAGTAGTCAAAGGTGTATGTAGCTACATCAGTATTAGAAGAATTATACCAGAAAGTGTAAATAATCATCTTTGGTTATGGCCACTTGTTGGGCCCAGACAAAGTGTAGCAACATAAGAAAACACAAGACACATAATGAATTCATATTTCAGCAGGATCAGCTTCTTCTGGAACAGGCACTTTTTTGCAATGTGAAGCGTGTATCCAAGAACTCTTTCCAGCTAGTTTAACTGACGTTGCTGTAATCAGGAGCACTTGATAAGGACCATCAAATCTTGGTTCTAGGGTGTGTTTCCTGAGAAACTTCTAGACCATAACCCAGGCACCCGGAAGTAGCTTGTGTGTACCTGTATTCGACTCAGGATCTGGAATAGAAGAAAACACTTGGGCATGTATCTTGGTCAAGGCATGTGAGAGGGCAGTCACATAGTCTACCATAGCGTCTGACTGAATCTGAAGCTGTTGGGGAAAGTAGCAACCTAACCTGGGTGCTGTACCAAACAAAATCTCATAAGGTGACAGGCTGTATTTTCCCCTGGGAGTGTATCTGACACTAAACAACGCTAATGGGAGATTCTCAGGCCAGGGCATGTTAGTTTCTTGTGACATCTTAAGCATTCTGGCTTTCAGAGTGCCATTCATGCGCTCTACCTTACCACTACTCTGTGGGTGATATGGTGTGTGGAATGCAAGGGTCACCCCCAGTGCTGACCAGACTTCCCGTGTTAGCGAGGCAGTGAAGGAGGTCCCTTGGTCACTCTCAATTACTTCTGGAACCCCATAGCGGCAAACAATTTCTGTCAAAAGGTACTTGGCTGTAGTCCTCGCGGTGAGATTAGTCACTGGGAAGGCCTCTGGCCATCCTGAAAACATGTCCACTATAACCAATGCATATTCATAACGTCCACTCTTTGGCATCTGAATGTGATCAATCTGAATCCTCTGAAAGGGGTATTGTGGCTTGGCTAGGTGATTAGGTGCAGTATTTATGACTTTTCCAGGATTGCATTTAGCACATATTGTACAAGATTTACAGTAGTTCTGTGTTAAGGTAGTGATGCCTGGTGCTTCAAAATACTTGTCAATCAGTGAGTTCATCAGGAGCTTTGACAGGTGGGCTGGCCCATGGGCCCATTGGACCACTGCTGAGTACATACTTCTAGGTAGGCAGAACTTGAGATTGATGGTGTAAACATCATCACGGAGTACTGCTCCTTTGTTCTTCCAACTTTGTTTCTCCTGAGGAGTGGCAGCAGCTTGTTGTTCCTTCAGGAGCCTGAGATCTGTAGGCAATGTCTGCATAGTGTAGATAGGTAATGTATCTGTGGCCACTCTTCTGTCCACTTCCCATCCTTGCCGTGCTGCCTCTTTAGCTGCCTGATCAGCTAAGTGGTTGCCACGTGCTTCTTCTGTGTCTAATCTTCCGTGGGCTTTTACTTTCAATACTGCCACCTCTGCTGGAAGTTCCAATGCATCCATCAGTTCTGCAATGGCTGCCCCATGTTTTACTGGGGTACCAGTAGCTGTAAGAAATCCTCCGGTCTTCCAAATTAAGCCAAAATCGTGTGCCACTCCCAGGGCATATCTTGAGTCCGTATAAATGTTAACACGTAGACCTTCAGACAGTTTGCAGGCCACAGTCAGGGCTGTTAACTCGGCTTCTTGGGCAGACTTAGTTGATTGTAGGGCAGCTGCTTGTAATACTTGGCATCCTGTGGTGACTGCATATCCAGTGTGATATTGTCCCTGTTCATCAGCAAACCTTGAGCCATCCACAAATAGTGTTTGATCCGGGTTGAGTAATGCAGCTTCATAAACAGTTGGTAGGTGTGTAGTTTCCATTTTCATTTGTTCAAAACAGTCATGGGGAATATCAATGAGGCCGCAGTCTGTGGTAAGTGGGTCCTCACAGGCCTCTGTGTGGTACCTGGGGTACCCTATTGTGCAATAGTTAATGGTCTTTTTATTGATCCCCGTAGAAGTCAGTTGTTCTTGAGTCATTTGGTTCCAGGTTCTGGCCATCGGGCCTAAGTCCTTCCATGAGGTGTTGTGGGATCTGGTGAGAGATATGTGTGGGATAGCTGTTTCCCAATGGTGATAGAGGTGTGTTACATTCTCTGGAAGGCGAACCAAAATAAGCATGGTACCTGCGGAGTCCCAGAATAAGTCAGTCAGGGTAATTTGAATTTCTTTGAGCTGGAATAGTTCTTCCTCATAATCCATATCAGGGCTTGGTACGTCCCTAAACCACAAGGTACAGTGGAGTAGGACCTCTGATTGTTCATCATGTGGAGGTGTAAGTGCAGGCAACTGTAAATCTGCTCGAACCTCTGGGTTGATATCCAAGCTGTACCAGTGATGCACAATTCCCCCCTTGGGAAGTGGCAGAAGAGTGGCTGGGTTCAGGGAAAGGCATCTCTGGAGTTTCACATTGTCAGGTAGGAGTAAGGAGGTCTGTAGGTGAAGGTGACGTTGGGAGGAAAGGTGCCTAGGTTGAGTTTGTTGCAGGATTGCAGTAATGTCATGAGGGGCCAACACTGTGAGGTGGTGGCCAAGAACAAAATCATTGGTCTTGTCCAGGAGGGCGCTGGCGGCAAACACCGCTCTGAGGCAAGAGGGATTACCTCTCGCAACAGGGTCAAGCATGCAGGAAAAATAGCCAATAGGTCGTTGTCTTGATCCATGTTTCTGGGTAAGGACTCCGGAAGCATGTCCTGACTTTTCAGAGACAAACAGATTGAAAGGAAGTTGGTAGTTGGGTAGGCCCAAGGCAGGTGCAGAAGCAATAGCTCTTTTCAGATTATGGAAACAGATGATAGTTTCTTCAGTGAGGTGAAAGGGCTCACTCCTGAGGGCATCATAGAGTGGCTGCATGAGCTTTGATGCTTCGGGTATCCAGGACCTGCAGTATGTGATAAGACCCAAAAAAGCATGAAGAGTCTGATGTGTCGCAGGTAAAGGAAGTTGCAGAATGGCTTGCACACGTTGAGAGGTTAGATGTTTGGTGCCATGGGAAAGGCAATGTCCCAAGAAGACCACAGAGGGCCGGCACCATTGTAGCTTTGATTTTGAAGCTTTGCAACCAGCTGCAGCAAGGAAACATAGGAGATCTTCTGAGTCTCGCTCTGCAATGAGCAAATCAGGAGCACAGAGAAGGAGATCATCAACATATTGGAGTAGAACAACATCCAGATGAGATTTCTGCCAGGGATCCAGAACCAGAGACATGGCACGAGCAAACTGTTTGGGAGAATTCTGAGCTCCCTGAGGCATAACAGTCCAGGTATATTGTTGTCCTTCATGCGTGAAGGCGAAGAGAAAGCGGCAGGAAGGGTCAAGGGGGACACTGAAAAAGGCATTAGCTAGATCCACTACAGTAAATATTGTTGAAGTTGGTGGGACTTGGGACAAGAGGGTATGAGGGTTTGGAACAATAGCAGTGTCCTTTATGGTTACTTCATTGACAGCACGGAGGTCCTGCACCATGCGGTATTGGTCAGGCTGGCCCTTAACAGTTCTCTTCTTGACAGGAAAAAGAGGTGTGTTACATGGAGATGTGCATTTGATAAGGGCACCTTTAGCAAGTAGACTTTCAACTTGTTTGGTGATGGCTTCAGCTTGTGCTGGTTTCAGAGGATACTGCGGTCTACGAGGAGGTAGTGCTCCAGGCAAAAGCTGGACCAAGACTGGGGGTACATGTAAGCGTCCAATATCATCCGGGCCGGTAGACCAAAGTTCTTGGGGGATACGATCCAGAGCACTGGGGGTGTGTGTGACCCGTGCACTCCCTGTGTTATCTGTTAGGTTCAACAGGATGGGGAGGGAACAGAGTACAGAGGTATCCTTTTGTGATAAGGGGGTTGTCAATTCAACTTGGCCATCTGCAGTGAAAGTGATAGAAGCCTGGAGCCGAGAGAGGACATCGGCACCTAGGAGGTTAATGGGACAGGTAGAGGAAACAACAAACCGGGAAAGGATGTGTGATCCTACGTGTAGGAGCTTAGTAAGGGGGTTACTGCGTGGTGTACCATCCACCCCAACACAGGAGACATCGGTGTCAGATAAAAAGGAGGGGTCTGGCAGGTCTTGTTCCCTAAGGACACTACGGGCTGCACCTGTGTCAACTAGAAAGGTGGTTGGGTGACCCTCCATGGGGAGAACTACAGTAGCTAAAGGCCCTCCCCCATCCCCTGCAGACACTGCCATGGCAGGGGTTGCTGACACAGGCTTGCCAGTTACCTATTGTAATAAATCCAAATGGGCCTGGTCTGGTCCCTGGTACCGGCGGGAAGTGGAAGGAGGGTTAGCAGAATGCATGGGGGGGCGGGATGGACGGATGGCATGGCGGGGCTGTGGCTGACTGTCTTGGAAATCATCGTTGTCATACCCTTCAGCAGAAGGCGAAGAGTATGCACGAGCTTCAGATGTAGGGAGTCGGGCTTGGGTGTACTCAGGAGGAGGAGGAAGTTGGGGCAACTGTGGATCGGGCAGGGCAGGGAGGTAAGCAGTGGAAGGGAAGTTATAGCCGGTGACATGGGGACTTGGGTACCGGGAAGTCTGCTGACGGAACACTCTAGGGTGTGGGCAATCTCTTCTAAAGTGGCCTGGTTGATTACAGTTAAAACAGGTTCGGATAGTTGTGATTGTCCGGTCTCTGGGAAAGGGAAGTGGTGCAGGCAGTGTCTGGGGTGGCTGGTTGTACTGTTGGAGGGGTAACTGAGGAGCTTGGTTAGAACCTGTAATAGGAGTGGATGTAGTATACATCAAAGGATTAGTTCTTCGTGGTGTGGGTTGTAAAACAGTTTCCAAGCCTTTGGCTACCAACAAGAGAGTGTCCAGTGGAATAATTCTATACTCAGGGCGAGCTAAGATTAACCCCTTACGAATGTGTTCCCTAAGGCCTGCCACAAAAGCTGCAGATAGCATCTGAGTATGTGCTTTGTTATAGGTGCTGAACCCTAAGTCTGAAAAAGTCTGAGTCAACCTAGAGTGATACTTTTCAACTGTCTCAAGTTTATCCTGAATAATGTCATTTATGCAGGTAGCCTGATCAGCTAGTTTATCCTGCGCCCAGGCTCGAAGCTGTTCACAGAAAACTTCACCAGAACGAAAATCAGTATCAGAAGTAAGTGGAGCGTCGCTAAAGCTCCGTTCCATGATTGGCCAGTATGCATCACCAGCCTTTATTTCACATAGACTAATAAGATCCCGCCAAGCAGCGGAGTATGTTTTACGGATCTGAGCCATCCTGCGGAAGTAGGGCATGGGGTGCTTCTCAGGATCAGGGAGTGAGGTCACAAGAGTAGCAGCTTGGGAAGGGTTGAAGGTAACATACATAGGTGGTGCACCATCCGCACCATGGTTAATCGGGGTATACCCCTGGGGGATTGAGCGCCGTTGGGGGAGTCTATTCCCCCCTGGGCGGGGTGAGCCCTGGTCCACCACAACGACCTCCTCGGGTACCACCGGGCCGCGGTGTAGAGTGGTCTCAGGGGTAGCTGTGGTGGGGACGATAGGGAGACCGGTGATTGGAGAGGTAATTGGGTGGAAACCCGAGGCCTGGGGGAAGGAACCCATCGCGTAAGGCTGGTCCGATGTCACTGACACCTCGGACCCAACCACCATGATTGGGTAACTAGGACTGGCGGAAGGGACATGAGGGACCAATGCCGTGGAAGGGGCTGTCATGGGGGCTGGTTGGGTTGGGCGTGAGAGGTGGGTGTTTAGGACGTGAGCAAGGGCAGAGATTGGATCGGAAGGCTCGGAGATGTTAGCGGGAGACAAGGGAGGGGTCGGAGGTTCGGGGGGAGGAGGAGGAGGTAAATCAGAGGGAGGCGGCACAGGGATCGCGGTATTAACCAGGGAGGTAACAGCAGAGAAGAGGGCGGAGATCGAGCTAGACAGGTCATTGGCCACGGATGGGTCAGGGGTCACCGGGGGAGGGGTCGGAAGGATAGGGGCAGGGGACTGTGTCGTGATAACGTGGGTGGAGGGTTGGGACAGCAAACCAGACAGGGGAGGAGGGGGCAATGAAGCAGAGGGGGCTGGGGCTTCGGGAGGAGGAGACAACACCGGAGATGGGATTGGAGGGCTGGTAACAGAGGGTTGGGTCAGGGCTATGAGGGCAGAGATTAGGGACGGCAAATCAGCCGAGGGAGGAGGAGGCAACGAGGTAGAGGGGGCCGGGACTTCGGGAGGAGGTAACGCTGGAGAAGGGGTGGTAACGGGGGATTGGGTCAGGGCGGTGAGGGCAGAGATTAGGGACGGCAAATCAGCCGAGGGAGGAGGAGGCAACGAGGTAGAGGGGGCCGGGACTTCGGGAGGAGGTGACACTGCGTGGTTAGCGGGAGGGTCCTGGAGGGTGGGAGGGGTGTCTAAGCACAAGGGAGCAGAGGCAAGGGAACTGGGATTAACGGGCTGGACAAGCGCCTTCGAGAGGCTAGCGAGGATAGAGGAGAGGTCTGGGTCCGGGGGTACAGGAGAAGGAGGGTCCGTGGGGAGACAGGGGTCCGGAGGAACGGGGTCGGTGGAGCGGGCAAGGGTCGGGGGAACAGATAAAGAGGGTGAGGGAGCGGATATTGCTAGGGATGGGGTACTCGATGTGGGGAGGGAAGGAGAGGAAGAAGAAAAGGGAACTTCAATGGGTGAAACGGGAACGGTTGGGATGGGATCCTGACGAGGAGTGGATGCAGGCACTGGGAAAGGTAGCGGGGGAGGTGAGGGGACTTCAGCGGACATGACAGAGGAGTAGTTAATGGAGGGGGCGGGGTCACAGGAGGGTTGAGGCATGGGAGTGGGTGGAAACGAGTGAAGTGGCATTGGGAAATAGTAAGCACCATCTGCACCAAGTACGGGGCACAGGGGGGTGGGAGCTGAAGGCACGCCCCCGGGGGGTGGGGTCTGTACTGTGACAGGGGAAGCGGGGCGGGAATTTACTCTTGCGCTCTGGGCGCCATCATAGGGCGGTGGTCGCGGGACAATAGAAACAACATCATCATTGTTAACACTCCTATGGTAAACATATACAATTTGCCCCTCAAACTCCAACTCTTCCTCGACCCATCCCTCTCGTTTCAAACCTCTAGCTACCCGATACCAAGCCTCTGCAACCTTTGTGAGTCCGTTATCCAACAACAAACCTTCCTTGTCTATGAGTAACTTCCTCCAAAACTCAGGTTGTAATCTTCCACTGGGCAACGTTTGAAAGCCACACACCTTAGCAATCTTTTTAAGTTTCAACATTGCATCTTCCCCTGCCCTCTCTTTTACAATGTCACAAGCCAACAAACCCTTAGCAGGTCTAGCGTGTTCCTGTCCCATCTGCAATGTGGAGAAAGCCGGTGCCTACTCTGCTTTAAGACTAAGCATGTACTCGCGGCTCATTGTGGGCCACATGGGGCCCGCGATTTTGACATGCTTGACCTACATCAATTGTCAATCTTAATACAATATTAAAAGTACGTTTTCAGACTTAATACCAACACGCCAGGATTCTAATAGTTTGTCCTCTTACCTGGGTCTTGAGGCTCCTTCCATGTCTGGTGACACGCTCAGTGTGGATGGTCTTACTCATGTGGAGCATGCAAGATATGTAAGAATTGTCAGATAGAAGCTGCTAGAGTAGGGATGTACTGCTATCATATATCACTGCAATCTTCATCAGTATGATCTGTGCAGCATGAAGAAACATTTACAGAGAGCTGTGATGCAGATTCTGTTTCCTATCCAAAGATATCCTGTGTTATGAATATCTTGATTACGGTCTCGTCTAACTCACCCTTTGTTCAGACACACACCTCTATAGACATCATATATACTCATTGTAATCTGGCAGTCAGGTCAGCCTCAGATACAGTCCACAACTTGCCCAGTTTAGGCCTGAAGAGCATTAAGAATACAAGCCTTCACATACCAACACACTTCCCACTATTTTCATTGTCAGAAGAACGGTTTGAGGCTGCAGTCCTCAACCCCCTTGCCAACCTTTTCATGCATATGGCCGAGCGGAAAATTGCCCCCCTTGCCAACGCTCCAATGCTCTGTGTGTATGTATGATTCTTTTGCTTTTCCTGGCATTTATTCTACAATGATATTTAATTTCTGTTATGATTCACATTTGCATTTTTTTTAAGTGCTTAATCCATTTACCCCAATTTTACTTTTATAATCTTATATGTCAAAACTTAAGAAGTGAGTCAAAATTATTGTTATGTACATGTATAAGTTAGTAGTAGAACATGTATTATTGATAAAGTGAGTCTTGAAATACTTCTATACATGCCTACCATGTAGTAGGGACAGCCCAGATTGAGCTAAAATCTCTTTGTTCCTCCTTTCTTTCATAACATCCTTTTTTTTTTTTTAAACTTCATATTGCTGGTGTGTCTTGAGTGTGTAACAATACTGTGTCTTTAAACAACAATAAATATGTTTAGAAATCAGTCTGTGTAAATAAGATAAATTGTTTTCAGTCACCTAACATTTCTCAATACAGCCCGGCCACTGGGCACATTCTTTAAAATGAATATGCCCCTCTTTGTCTATTTCAAAGTTGGGTACTGTGTTGTGTGCTTCTATATTAGATAATTATAGATACTGGCACAATGGTGATGGCACCACTTTTAAAACTTTGGAATACTTTTAAAAGTGGTGCCATCACCACTGAAACCAGTAGAGGAAGCAGGCAGGTTCTATTGGTGACTCTGCCCCTTTATGTTTGTATCACTTTCCACAACAGATACTTTTTGCTACAAGACTGTGCTAAGCAGAAAAGACCAATACTCACCCTGCTCTTGCCTTCTCTTAACAGACACTACCAGACCAAGCACCCTGAAATATCACCATCCGTTCACCCATCTCTGCAGGTTATATGATCCGATGCAGCCTGCCAACTCAGGAAACTTTAACCAGGTAATGATTCTACACTGTGCATGGTATCACAGTACTATTTTAAAACAGCTAGTGTGTTGGCTGATGAGCTATTCGGGGGTACCTTATATGTGGGGTTTACTGGTGTCTCAACGTATGTTTTTGGGGATATTCTGTTAAGACACCTTGTTGTCTGGAATTTAATTAGATTAACCAGTACTCAATCTAGTTATCCCCCAGACACAGTGGATTAATGACCCCTTGCTGGGGGTCTGTGTATAACTGCATGCATTGTAAGCCAATAAAGGATTAGGGTTTTCGCCTTTCTTCAAATTTCAACTGATGTTTGTGTGGGCTGCTATATATCACTGAACACTCTGCAGAAAACTGACATGGACTGTTAAAAATATTACAAGAACTTTATTATGGCTTAACAGCTTCAAAAAAAATTATGTGTTGATTTTGTCCTGCTTATGAACAATTAGTACTTTTATTGTTTTTGTCAAGATATGTATTCACAACAGCATGGTCAAAAGTACAGATAACAGCTGATACTGAGGTTATTTGACCACCTAAATGTTTTTATAACGAGGGTTGTAAGGGTTTGCTTCTACGGGGCCAACATGCCCACGAGTTAAGACAGCTCTGATTGTAGCTTGTTTGTGACAAACATTTGGCTGATATTTTTCACATAGCCTCTGTACCTAGATTCACATAAATGGTGTTCATTCCTGACATTCCATTGATGCAATTTTTGGGAATTTTATAGTTGACCTTGTATCTTTGATATCTTTGCAGATAAAACAAGCTGAAAAAGGATCTTAAAATCACCACAGGCTCTCCCGTAAGTACGTCATCACTATCTGAAGATAAGGTCAGTGTACGTATGTAGTTGTTTTGATCTCATAAGGACAATTTAATATCTTCTGCAATTCTGATGATTTATGTCTGTTGCCAAAATGGATGCTGTGGCACTGGCTACTGTCACATCCTGTTCCTAGCTGCGGATCATTCTGGCTATGCCTTCTGGTATCCAGTACTCTTTTTACAATTCTTGTTTAGTTTTTCTTGTTTTTTTGGTTTTCTATTCTATGTCTGGTTTTCTTTATGCTGGGTTTTTCTGGGTTCATTCCTGTAATCCGTCCCTGGAATTCCCAGTCTTCAGGTTTTCTTTAAATGTTTGTGATAAGTTTGCAGTTCAGTGATAAGTCCACATAATACAGTTTTCTGAACTTGGAAAGAAACGTCTATAGTAGACAAGCATAAGGTAGAGGCCTTTTCTATCTGCCGCTGGATATGTTTTAACTGACCATAACAAGTCTTAACGAGAGCATACTCTTGCTGTGATCAGCGTTAATACCAACAATGTTATCCATAGTCATCCTAGACATTATTCTCTGCTGGTTCCCGAATGGTCAGATCATTATGTCATGACATGAAGGGGTTCTGCCCTGAGACAGCACTATCCCTTTAAATGTGGGAACCAATTTAGCAAAGAATAAAGGCAAGGACACAATGAATAGAATAAATCAATAAATATATATTAAAGGGAACCAAAGGACAAAAGATAACAAAACAATATGTAATAAATATATACAAAGCCACAGAATAATATTTACAATAAATCAGGATAAATTGGGAAGGCAGAGTATACTTGTAACGGCACCCTCAGCATAAAAGGGTTGAACCGCTTTTTAGGAGATCTTCCCCTTCCAGAGATACAGGCACAGCTACTGCAGAACACCAAACTCCCGAACCGCATACAAAATAGCACTCCAAACTCCCGAACTGGAACCTCACGAATAGCTGCTAGCAGACGAATAGGAAAAGCACCCAAGCGGCTTACACTCCTAGCAATCAATCTCTATCAGCATACAGTAAATCCCCCCAAGAACGAGACAGAGCTCCGTGTTGAGGGTCAAGCAGTGGTCTGTTTAATGAGGGCTACCTGCCCAGTATTTATGCAGGTCTCCCACCTGGTGGACACTCCCCTAGGGAACCAAATGGGAGACTGGGACACAAATAGTACAATGACCAATCACAGGCAGACATGGTTAAAACACTCCCACAATACATTACAAACACTCCCCGCTATCCTGGAGATAATTGGGAAGTAATCCAATCATCTCCAAGGACAGAGGCAAAACTCCATTACCCACGTGGTTACAGTAAAATACTAAAACACAATAAAATACACAATATTACATTTATCACACAAAATGTATACTTGCAACCCATCCCCAGATAGCTGGGATCTGAGCGCACAAAAGTACCGAATAGCGCTCAGATCCTATGCGCACAGTCCAATCGACGTGGAGCCAAAGTGTTCACAAAGTCAGTTTTCATACAAATGAGCTCCACGGGATTTCTATCTGGGGTATGGTGTATTCAGGTACAAACTATTGAATATAGGGCTGTTCGTGCACTTCTACCGAACAAGAAGGGAGGTCGGCGGCTTCAGCGGTGTTCGCGCCAAAATGTATCCGTTTTCAATTCCATGAGTTGGGTGTCGAACACCGCTGTGCGTTCGCGTATTTAAAATGGCCGCAACCTCGTGTTCGGTATATGAATGGCGGCCACCCAGCATTCATCAATTAAGCTGCGGTTAACCGCAGCTTCTGGGAGGTTAATTGCCGACACGCTCCAGCTCCCAGGTGGTCCAGTCATTCGTGTGTTAGTTCGGTAGATTGAATCTACCGAACACCGGGCAGAAAGGCACGAATAAGCCCTTTCTGCATGGGAAAAAGAAGGCTTTTAACATGGGGGCATAATCCAAAGGCAACAGGCGAGCAACCAGACTTCTCCAATGCAATGTGGCGAGATTGGTTTCGTCACAATACTTAAACAGTCCTTTGGTATAAAGAATGTATTTGGGCAGGATTGTGCAGCCACCACAGAAATAGGTGGAATCCAGAGCCACAAACACAGATCCAGAGCCACAAAACAAATATATAGCACCAGGAAGCAAAGTCCGAAGCAGGACAAACGAACAAGGCTGCAGGGTCAGGATCACTGGAAATACGGCAGGAGACAGGAACACTGAACCATAACATAGAATCGGGAGGCTCAGGAATGCAGAACCAGGAGGACACGGGAACACAAGACACGAGAACTCAGGACCAGGAAACACAGGACACAGGATCAAGAAGTGAAGATTCAGAATCTCAGGAACCAGGAAATAAGAACCACGGAACAAGAAACAGGAGACAAGAGACAATGATCTGACAAGGAGTGAGGGGAGAAACCAGACTATATAGGTGCTAAACAAGGACCAGGTGAAGTGCTAATGAAAAGAAATTAGGAACAGTGCCAAACAGTGATAGTGGTGAGTGTGGTTACTGCACTAGGGAGTGTCGTGACAGTTACCAACTTTTCATTGCTATTACATATTCCCTACCTATTTTGAATTTCCAGTCATTTTGAATCGAATGTTTGGCATACTATTTGCAGTATTTTTTTTTTTTAATCTTTGAATGTGTGTCCTGATGTTGGTGGCCTAATTATCCTACTTGTAATTAATTGCCACATTTCCTATAGTTCATCCTGATATTCTTTACTATCTGAATGACGTGCTTCTTCTTGCCTTTGTCTAGTACAGCATTTCCCAATTGAGGTTCCGCAAGAACAAAATTTGGGTTCCGCTGCATTTTGCCACATCCAAGATGGCCACCGATACCTGCTGTTTCCAGAAGGTCGGAAACAGCAGAGATCGCGGGAGCGCGATCTAAAGCCTGCCTTGCCGTCAGAGCCCACCCTGCCATCAGCCAGCCACTTGTCCGTGAGAGAGCCAGCCCGCCAGCCCTGCCGTCAGCCATTTTATATCATAGAGAGTGGAGCTGATAGTTAAAGCTCCATTATTGTCATAGATAGAAATCTCTGTTAGGTAGGGACATAGAAAGCTGTGTTAGGTAGGGGCATTGAAAGTCTCTGTCAGGGGCACTGAAATTCTCTGCCAGGGACATTAAAAGGCTCTGTAGTGGGCACTGAAATTATCTGCTAGGGACATTAAAAGACTCTGTCAGGGGCATTGAAAGACTCTTTGAGGGGCATTGGAATTCTCTGCTAGGGATATTAAAAGGCACTGTCAAGGGCATTGAAAGGCTCTGTCAGGGGCAAAAAAAAACATTAACTGTATTTTTCAAAGTGTTCAAATCTTTTTGCTCCCAGTCTAACTCAAAAAACCTGCTTAGGTTCAGTTCCATCAAAATCAGCCTTCTTTTCAGTCAGGTTGTGAGATCTGTATTTTTCAAAGTGTTTTTTTTTTCTTCTTTTTTTTTTTTACCAATAAGCAACCATGAATTTGGAAAGCTGGTTAAAGCAGGGAACTCTTCAGAGAAAAATTACTACTTCTATCTGTTCGGCACTTTGAGAAACTGAGAAAGAAGATACAACTAAAAATCCAGAAAACTTGCCCAAAATAGTTGTATCTACTGTTCCTTCCTCAAATAGCAGAGACAAGTGACAAGTAAAAAAACAAACAAACAAAAAAAAAAATCACACGATGCTAGTCAATCTTCTTCTCAAACAAATAAAAGAAAATATGTTGATAGCTACTTGTCGTTTGGATTCATAAGTGCCAGAAATGAAGATTGTCCTGAAGCACAATGCGTACTTTGCAATAATATATTGCCAAGCAAAACCACGCAGAGTGCAAAGATAAAGACATTGACTTTTTTTTTTTTTTTAATATTTAATCTTTATTTTAAATTTTTTTCTTTTAAATCTCACTAAATACATATATCATACAAATACAAATATCATACAAATATACATTTGTAATACAAACAAACAACACAGCAGCAAAATAG